GGGGGGGGAATATTTTTAAATCATGTAGCTGATAAGGAGATAAGTCTCACAACACACGGAGAGCTACTAAAAAGCAACCCAAAACCAAGCAAAGGATTTGAACAGACATTTCTCTGGGTAAGAGCTACATGAAAATATGTTCAGCATCACTGATCATTAGGGACATGCAAATCAAAACCACAAAGAACACCGTAGTGAAGTCTAATACTGTGCATGCTAAGAGAAGAAGAATACCACTTCACAGCCATTTGAGTGGTTTCTGTTTTTAAAAAAAAATGTTGGCCAAATGGGGAGAGATTGAAACGTTCATTCATTGTAGATAGGAATAAAAAGTGGCATAAATCCCAGGTAAGCAATACGTGGGTCTTCAATTTTTTTAAAATTCAGAGTGAGTAAGAGCACTAGCTGCTCTTGCAGAGGACCCAGGTTTGAATCCTAGCACCCACATGGCAGCTAACAACTGTCTGTAACTCCAGTTTCAGGGGAATCTAATGCCTTTTTCTGACCTCCATGGGCATTGCATGACCCAGGTGCACTTACATGCAGGCAATATACTCACACACATAAAAATAGTGAGACTGTTTTTTAAAAACTTAAAAATGGAGTTTGGGGTTGTAGCTCAGTTGGTAGAGTGCTTGCCTAGCATGCACAAAACCCCGGCTTTGAGCTCCAGAATCGCATAAACTGGGCATTGTGGCACACACCTGTAATTCTAGCACGCAGGAGGTGAAGGTGGGGGATCCAAAGTTCAAGGTCATCCTCAGGAATATGATGAGTTCAAGGTCAGCCTGGGATATCTGAGACCCTGCCTCCAAAAAAAAATTTTTAAGTAGAATTGCCATGTGGTCCAGCTATTCTGCTTCTAGGTATACACCCCTAAAGAACTGAAAATGCGATTTTGAGAAAAGATGTGTGTATACCCATGTTCATAGCAGCATATCCAGAAGTCAAAAGGTACCAGAACCTAAATCCATGCCTGTAACACCTAATCTAGTCAAATTCATAGAGCTAGAAAATAGCGTGGTGGTTGCTGCCCACAGAAAGAAGGGGGATGTGTGAAGTTATTATTTAATGAGCATAGAGTTTCAGTCTGGCCAGATGAAAGAATCTGGAAAAGAAGGGTGGTGATTCTTACACAATACAAATGTCCTGAGTGTCACTGAACTGCGTGGTTACAAATGATTAACATGCTAAACAAACTGTGTTATTTGTGTTTAGCCACAAAGAAAAATCTTTGAAAGACTAACAGTATTGTATTAAAATTATATTTCAAGGGGCTGGAGAGATGCTCAGCGGTTAAGAGCACTGGCTGCTCTTGCAGAAGATCCAGGTTGATTCCCAGCACCCACATGGTGGCTAGCAACCATCCTTAACTCCAGTTCTAGGGGATCCAAAACTTCTCTTCTGGCCTTGGTAGGCATTTCATGACATGGATGTACTCACATACATGCAGGAAAAACACTCATACACATAAAATAAAAATAAATAAATCCAAAAAGTTAAAATTACACTTCAAAAGAAAGTTGTCTGCTCTTGGTGTCGAGTATGACGAGCACTCCAGTGGTAAGAGGGATGGAAAGGCTTAGTTAGTGTCCAGTCAGCCACCTGGTAGAAGCAAAGAACAGTATCAGTCATGGAGGGCTTCCTGGAGAAGGTGAGTGGCTGAGCTGAAGCCAGGAAGAAGGAGGATAGTGGTGGGTCTCCTCACTACCCCCACTGTATGCCCCTTAGCTCATGTCTTCATAGTTTCTAGGGGGATATGGAGCTTGGAATGTGCACATTGCTGTCACTTGGCAACCAGGAACTGGTGGCTGCGGCCACCTGCCAGTCCTTCCTGTCACCCTGGGCTCTCATCTGGCATGGGTTCTTTTCCATCCAGGTAGACGGGGCCCAGTGGGGAGGCATCTTCCACCTGCTCACCTTCTCAGCCTTTCCTGGGTCTCACTGGGCTGACTGGGACCCTTGCTGATGTAGGTAAGTCTACAGAAAGTTCTAGGTGAACCAAGTGAAGTACAGATGATTTCCACTCTCAAGGAACCCTCACACTGGTTTCCACTCATGGAAGATGCTGGAGTTCAGGTGGATAGAACATAGTTGGGCCCTCAGGGGACTCTCAGGCTGGTGCAGGAGACAAAGCTCACCTTGTTCTTTCCATATCTGGGTGCTTATGCCTTTTCTATACCGACTGCTGAGACACAGACTTTCTGAGGCCTGGGTCACCCTTAGTTGGGGTATAAGCACCAAAGCCATTTTCTCTGAATTCTGCAACTCTTTACTCAAGAGCTTTCCACAATTCTGGAAGCGTATCTCTGAGTAAAAAACCATCCCAGTCCCTAGGCCCTGAGTTGGGACAACCCTGATACTTGTCATATACGCCCCTCAGTGGTCCTAGCCAACTATTCGCAGAGGTGGCTGGCTTGCTCAGGTACATTCTTTACCCCCCTTCCTGCTAGGTCCTGGAATCAGCTCAAATAAGTCATTAAAATCCTTGTCTCAGCATTGGCTTTTTAGGTATTTTTTAAATTTAGACAGGGTCTTGTGCAGCCCAGGCTGTCCCCAAACTCACTATGTAGCTAAGGTTAACTTTGAACTCCTGATCCTCTGCCTCTACCTCGCAAACACTGGAATTACAGATATGTGCCACGATATCTGGCTTCCAAATTGGCTTTTGGGGAACCTACACTAAGACAGGAGATGGTATATAACAGAAAATGAAGGTTCTGTGTGCTGCAAGTCACAATCAGTTGTTTGCAAAGCAGTATGGAACCAAAGCGTAGCAGTGAGAGAACTGGCTGCCCAGGAGCAGGCAGTAAGGGGACGCATTGAAAAAAAAAAAATTCAAATGCAGTAATAAAACTGACCAAAAGGCTAGTCTGCCTTTAATTATCATCGTGAACCAGCAATTCTAACCAACACCAATGATAAAATTCTCCTCCCCACTGGGGCTGATAGCTTTCTGTTGCATGCCAGCTCCTTGGCACACCACTGACTCTCAGAGCACTGAGGAGAGAGCAATTTAAGACGGACAAGAGATGAGAAAGGCAGTGTTGATTCTTCAGTCATCTAGAGCTGCATTTCACACCTCTGTGCTTTGCACATGCTGTTTCTTTTTATAGGAACCTTTTCTTCCTTTATTCTTCCATGAGAGTTCTATGTAGTCGGTCATCTCTTTCTCTAAGAAACCCTCCTCGAATCCCGGCTTGAGTCAAATGGTTCTCATGGGCTTGCAAGAGCCTCTGAGCAGGCTTCCAGCATAGCAGATTTCACACTGGATTGCCTTTGTCTATCTTTAAACCACCAGACAATGAATTTCATAGAGAAAGGACCTATGGCTTGTTCACTTAGGCATGAGAGCTGAGGAGAGTCAAGGTTATTGCAGTCAGGAGTACATGGGATGAAATGACACTTGGAGGTGACATTAGAGAGGTACAGGACCCATGATGCACAGGGTGGTGACCAGACCACATATAGGTTCTTAGAACGGGCTGTTTTTCTCATTTGTGATGGGGACTCTGGATGGTTTTGAGCTAAGGAATATGATCTGCCTTTAATTCTAACTGAATCTCTCTGGTTGCAGGTTGTAAACAGAATGTAGCAGAAAGGGATGGTGCCCAAAGGCAGATGCCAGACAGCCAAGTGAAAAATGACAGTGGTGTGGGCTATGGTACTGACAGGGATGGGAAAAATGAATTTATTTGGCTACAATTATTGAACTTCAAGAAACTTGGAGAAATAATAGGTGTTAAAAATCATGAAGGAAGGGCCGGCAAGATGGCTTAGCAGTTAAGAGCACAGGCTGCTTTTGCAGAGGATTCCAGTTTGATTCCCAGCACCACATGGAGGCTAACAACCATCAGTAACTCCAGTGCCAGGAGGAATTCATCGCCCTCTTCTGACTTCCACAGGCATTGCATAACATGGGTACACTTATGCACATGCAGGCAATACACTCATACATATAAAATGAAAATATTTTTTAATCATGGAGATTTGGAGACACAAATTAGACACCATAGGCCATATATATATATGTCTATTTTTAAATATATATGTGGAGAGAGAGAGACAGAGACAGAGAGAACATTAAATTGGGGGAGGCAATCAGGGAGGTACAGATAGCGGAGAGGATCTATCAAATTATATTGTATAAAATTGCAGAAACTCAATTTAAAAAATCATGAAGGAGGCTGTTGTGGTGGTGCATGTCTTTAATCCCAGCACTTGGGAGGCAGAGGCAAGTGAATCTCTGTGAGATTGAGGCTGGCCAGGCCAGCTGGGGCTACAGGGA